CCTTTAAGCTGAGTTTTCTCTTTCTGCTGCAACTGCTCATCTTATCTTTCCAGTGTCCCTGCCGGGACCACTTGTCCAACCCCCAGCCCTAGGAAGGGGGGTGGGTCGAGGCTTCTCGCCACCCTATAGCAATCAGGCCTTATTAAAATCCTGGAGTCCCAGACTGGACCCAGCCCTCAGCTGTGATCAAAGGACAGCCTGGGGGATGATTAAAGGGCTGGAGAAAGATGATTTAGGATGAGACAAGAGAAGGCCACGGAGCAACTGGATTGTCCTCGAATTTAGAAAAGGTAATTATGACTTGGAGGGTGGAGCCCAGCTGTTTTCCATCTCCTCTGAGCACAGGAAAAAGAAAGGAAATAAATGATGTACAATTAGAGCGCTTGGTTAGATACAAGGGTGAGCTTCCTGGCCGGGAGTGTGGCCAAGCCCCGGATTGGGTTTCCTGAGGGAGCCCAGGGAACCTCCTTACCTGGAGGTTCCTAGGTCTGGCAGTGCGAGTCTGAGTGGCGAGTGAGAGGCGGGGCTGGGTGGACTCTGAGCATAGTCATGCAGGCATGGAGCATTTTCTGGCCTCCCTCCTGCCATTGTCCTTGGGGCTCCCATGTTGGTGAGGCGTGCACCCTGGCAGGTTCCCCAGGGAACTAAGTGTAAGTGTGTTTGGCTCCACTGTGTGTAGAGATGAATAGTGTACAATAAACTGACCCTGAGCTAATCTGGTAGAACTCCAGCAAAGCTCTGGGGGAGAACAATCGCATGGGTGTGCCTATACTCACCAGGTGCTTTTTATGAAAACACCGGAGAATAATGCTGCAGACGAGGTTGGATGCTGTCCCAAGACCTGACATCCTCTTAGGGGTCTGTGTTGTTGGACTGAGTTTCTTAGGGATCCCAAATCCCACAGATGTAGGGTGGACAGGTGACCCAGCAGGGGGTGGACTATCAGACAGGCCCAGATGCCGGGTCTCAGAAAAGAAACGCCCTGGGCTGATGTGGAAGCTGTGCGGTGCTATTCATGGCAGTGGTGACTCCATTTCTGAAACTCGGGCTCCCAGGCAGACGAGGGTGTGCGCAGACGAGGGTGTGCGCGCATCTGAGATGTCTGTGGTTTTGCAGTTTCCATGTCCACAAACTCACTTGGTTGAAAATAGTTCAAAATATCCAAAGCACGAGGGAGGGAGTGACTGCTTTTCTTAAAAAGGAAGAGCTTGATTTCATCTAGTTACAAAGCCGGCCAAACCTAGTGCAAGAGACTCTGCGAAAGACCTCCGGGTCACCCAGTGAGTGCTGTCAGATCTCAGCACTCTTGCACATTTGGGATCTTTCAGAGGGGGCAGCGAGTGGGCAGAGACCAACCCCAGACCCTGGACGAGTTCTCAGACACTCCCAGGCCACACACATAGGGGACCTTACCACAGAGTGGTCACCTGCAGAGGGGGGTTGTTATTCCCTGCATGGATTCTCACTTGGCCCCGACTTGGGACAGAGGCCCTGAGTCTAAGGTAATAGGTGTCAGGAGCGGGTACTTAGTTCACCAGGGTGGGTGGAAGAAATACTCCTCCCTGTTGTAGGTGCCAGACCTGGAAAGCCCTTCCTGGAGACAGAGCATGCTGTCTAACCCATCACTTTGTCCCCAGCCCCTAGGGGCCTGCTTGCCTTGTGGGCAATAGACTCCGTCATGCTTGTTGAGTGGCTTGTTGAGTGGCTGAAGGGTAAGCCGCAGGCCAGGAGGGAAAATTCAGGCTTAGGTGTGGGCGGAAGAGGAGGGAGAAGCCCCTCAGGGCTTTCTCCCCTAGCCTGGTCTCTTCCTTCAGACGCCATGAAACGTCTTTTGGCCAGGTCTGCTTTCTGCTCTCTGGAGGCCTTCACTGTGGAGCTGGGGGAGGTGGCACATGTCCATGGCCCTTTGACAGGGCTGCTCCATCCCTGCCCCACCCCTCTCTAGCGCTCAGCCCAGGGGGCGCAGCAGCGAACCGGAGTGGTAGGATGAAGGGGTGTTTAGCTGGAGGGGCGCCCTCGGTGGGCGGGATGGGGCGGCCTCTCGCCCGGGCCACGCGACTCGCGCGT